AATGAAACCATGCTGGTTGCCCTTGAGCATCATCCCGGAAGCCGGCCCATCACAGATGTGCTCCTTGAGGATCTTCTCAAAGAATTTCCCTAGGATTGATGTATGACTGACAGGCCTATAGTTGCCCAGGTCCTCTCTCTCTTCCCTTTTTTGAAGATGGGGACCACATTAGCTATCTTCCAATCATCTGGCACATGGCCTGAGCACCACGAGCGCTCGTAAAGCCATGCCAAGAGCCCTGCAATAACCCCAGCTAGCTCCCTCAATACCCTGGGGTGGAGAGCATCTTTGAGATCTTGTTTGGAATAAACATATATTAGTGGGAAGCTACCTCAAGTATTTTGGGGGCTTTTTTAGAGTTAAAAAGAAAAAAGGAAAAAACAATCTGTAGAAATGATACAATGTCTGATGACGCACCTATAACCAAATAAGGAATTCTGCTTGTTTTGTTTGTTCTGCAACATCAAAAAATGTTTTAGATTTATTTCCTTTCTGTTCTGTGTTGTTTTTGTTTTGGTTTTTTTTTTTTTTGAGGGAAGGGCGAGAAAGCATTGAAAATGTCGTCTCAGGATCCTGACAAGCCACATACAAGTGAAGGAAAATCGAACGATTCAGCAGGTACACGAGGGGACAGTTTGGACAACCCAGATCAATCCATTAGAAAAAGGATACGACAAAGTACCCCAAGTCCAAACAGAGACAACATGCCAAAATGTAAGTAAATCTTTTATTAAAAGAAGTGGGATTTATATTTTCTTCCTTTTATAACAAAAAAAAATACATTTCCCTTGCTTCCTGTTTCCTATACAAGGCGCACTATATACTGTGCAGAAATATATATATTTTTCCCTTTTCTGGGGTCTTCTAGGTTGTGAGGCAACGCATAGGCAGCTTGAGTAAGGCTGTTGTCTGTTAAAGTAGGTTTCCTTGTGCTGTTCTTTCTACTCTGCATTGAATCAGGCCTCTGGTTTCAGAAGGTCTTCATTTGTTCCTGAAGCAGGTTGGTATTACAGTTATAAATAGGAAATATATTCCAGAAATTAAAGTTGTTATGGGAAAATTGAAAATTCTTTTGTTGCCATGTTATAGTTTTGCTATCTCTTCTCTAAATTTCTCCCCAAAGTAATTGCCATCCACCTCCTCCTGAAGAATAGTTGTTCCTTAGTTCACCGTTTATAATTATTGGGCCAAATCCTGGAATCTTTATTCAGCATTGTGCAAAACTGTCTTTGAGTAAGATTTTTTGCATGAAGAAGGACTTTAGGATTTGGCTGTTTGTCACGTTCTAAAGAATTATTTTTCTTCGCTGTGCATTTGAAATCTGTATTGCAGAGAGCAGGGATTTGAACTTAGGCTCTACTCGACATCCTGTCCAGTTACTGTGTGGTAAGGAAAACAGTTTTTAGTGTTTTTAGCAGTCCCTTCTATTGCTTATTGGGATCAACATTCAGAATTCTTGCGTGAAGGAAATGGTTGTGGAGTTTTGTTGGCTTTTGAGGGAGAATGTAAGTTCTGTTGTGGACAGGGTGAGGTCTACTGGAGTCTCCTATGAATATTTAAAATGGTATCTTTAGAATATTATAGGTTCAGTGCTTGACCACTCTGAGTCAGAAAGTTCCTCCTAATTGCCAACCTGAATTTTCCCTTGCTGCAGCTTGAGGCCATTGCTCCTAGTCCTGTCCCCTGTAACCACAGAGAAAAGCCCAGTCTCTTCCCTCTCTCTAATGGTTCATCACTTATTTGAAAACTATTATCAAATTCCCCCTTGGTCTTCTCTTCTCTGGGTTAAATAACCCTAGCTCGTTCAGTCTTTCCTTGTAAGTACTGCTTCCTAGGCACATAATCATTTTTGTTGCTCTACATTGGACTCTCCAATCTGTCCATATCCTTCTTGAAGAGTGAGGCTGAGAACTGGACACAGTACTTTAGGTGAGGCCTCACCAGTATTAAATAGAGCAGAAGATCCACGTCACTTGATTTACAAATGTCACTTCTGTTAATACAGCTCAGGTTGCCTCTTTTTTGCAACAAGAGCACCCTGTTGGTTCATATTCAGTTTCTGATCTATCATAACCCCCATGCCGTTCTTTGCAGTAGTGCAGTCTATCCAGTGATTCCCTAGTCTGTATTTGTGAATGTCATTATTCTGTCCCAAATGCAGGACTTCATATTTGTTCTTGCTGAATCTCATCTAATTGACTGTAGACCAGTTTTCCAATTAATCCAGGTCATTCTAGATCCTAGCCCTGCCCTCCAGTGTGTCTGCAACTCCACCCAGGTTGGCGTCATCTGCAGATTTGCTAAATGTGCCTTCAGTCCCATCATCCAAGCCATTCATGAAGGTGTTTAAATAGTACTAGACTGAGGACAACCCTGGGGAGCCAGTATCCCCACAAGCATGTTGACAACATCTGTTGTAAACTTGTTTGTTGAAAGGTTGTTGGCAATAGGGTCACAAGGTCTGCTCGTGCTGAAAGACAAACCAGAAAGGAAAGGGGGAGAAAAATGCAAGATACTTAGTTGAAAATATTACTTGCATGTCTTAAGTATTTGCAGGATCAAATCCCAACATAGTGTGTTATGTATATGGTACTTACATGATCCAGTTCATTTGAGCTTTCTGGACTGTTATACTATAGCGTTTGTTTTATAAATGGATGGATTTCTCTGCAAAAAATCAAACTTTCAAGATGCAAAGATATCTTTAACTCCTGCTGTTGAAGTTAATGTAAACTAATCATTTTCAATTGTGGTACTACAGGAAAGTGATATGCAGGTTGGCAGACTGTTGTGTTGTGTTAGAAGTTTGCTTTTAGCGTCTTATCTTCCCACTTTGGTATTTTTCCTTTTTAAGGTAGGATCTAGGTAAGGTGCAGCTGTTACCAGCAAGTCCCCAGCTAAATGGAAAAGTATAAAATGTCCTTTGGGATTCTTTTTTGTGTATAGATAAATGAAGCAGTTACCTCAGAAAATGTAGCCCTTCCCGTGGTTTTTGTGGATGGTCTCTTGAACCACTGATTACAACATTTTATAAGTAGTTCTGTTTTTAAAATAGTGTGCACTATTTGTTGAGTGTTGATGGTGTTCGTGGTGCTATACCAAACAGCGCAGGCACTTCATGTGGAACTTATGCTTATACTAATGGGACGAATGCTCTAAGTTGGAGGTTCCCAACCTCTGAGCCACAGCCAGGAGGATTGACTGCTGCACCTAAAGTCCAGAAATGATCAGCCTACTGTGGACTGGCAGCCAACCCTTTTTTAGACTCAGCATAACAAAGAGTTGGCTGCTAGTCTGCAGTATGCTGGTCACTTCCGGTCCATGGTCTAAAAACGTTGGGAACTGCTGCTCTAAGTCAGAGGACCTTGGAGTCTAAGGTCTGGGCAAGGTGCCTGGTAGGAAGTGCAGTTTTGTGTTGCATCATGTGTAGGAGCACTGACTATAGGTGTGTACAAGTAAGGTGCTAGACAATTTTCTGCAGTGAGTAGTAGTAAGTCTTGCGTCCCTTGCTTTGTCAAGAATGCCAGGTAAAAAATGGACCAGGACTGACAAGTGTGTCTGCAGAGGTATGGGTTTAAGTGCATTCTTCAGAATACAGAACTGATGCTTAGCTATGCTCTCCCTTCTTAACCTTGGCTACTACCATTGTTAGGCAGAAATAATTTGGCAGCCAAACGAGCACTCTCGTTAAAATGTAAGTGCACATTTGTCTCTTACACTCGCCACTTGAACCTTTCAACATTCCTCACAGGAATTGTGCAAGATTACACTCTAAGCAATATGACCCAAGCATATAGGGTGCTGGTGAAGTTGAAGAGATGCTTACAACAAAATGGAGCTTATAGTTCTTAACTAAATGAATAAACAGCACTTTTTGTGTGTGGCAGATTAGTGGTGAAAGCTTTTTTTTTGACACTGAAAAGGCACTTCGTTAAAAGTTGCTGCTGATATGAACCTAGCCAAATCAGCCTGCTGGCCTATCCGAAACGAATCTATTCATGTACTGTTTGAGTGGATGAAGAGGGTTTTATTCAGATTTGGAAGCACACTGTCTTTTTTGCTGTAGGATTTTTTGCCAAGAGGATAATCAGAGAGACAGGATTATCACAAGTTCAATGAGAGGAAGCAGTTAGGGCTTGCTTTTTCCTTTTTTCTTTCTCCTTTTTGCTTTCCTTCAGTACAGATGGACTCAGAGAAATCTTGCCAGGCCTGTTATCTTCTGATGGCATAATGATCTGGCCTCCTTTCTATCAAAGTACCACACCAGAAAAGTGCTTTTCTTTTTGTTTTTAACAGGAGCTTGCAGAAATAACTTATTGTGAGGCATGTCCCGTTCTTCTGTTGCAAGTATTGTCATCACTACTTCTGCAAGCACAACTTAAGGATTTTGCTCCTAAGGAACTTTCTGTCTCCATTGCAGTGTGTCAAAATTATGCTTCATTGATCTGTGTTAATTGTACCATCAGGCTTCATAGTTTCATAGTTTCTAGGGTTGGAAGGGACCTGAGTAGATCATCTAGTCTGACCCCCTGCCATGGCAGGAAAGAGTACTGGGGTCAAACGACCCCAGCAAGGTGTTCATCTAACCTCCTCTTAAAGACCCCCAAGGTAGGGGCCAGCACCACTTCTCTTGGAAGTTGGTTCCAGACCCTAGCTGCCCTGACCATGAAGTAGCGCCTCCTGATATCTAGCCTAAATCTACCCTCTACCAGCTTGTGACCGTTATATTCCTGGTCACTCCTGGCAGTGCTTGGGGGAACAGGGACTTCCCCAGTGCCTGCTGAT